ATGGGTAATTTCACTATTGAATTAGAGTTGGTTAATTCTGCCGTTGATTGTATTATTGACCCTAACAATTATGAAAGCGACACAGGGTATTGCCACGGATTTACGAAATCGTTTTACAGTAGCAGTAGCTGGTGATGTAGGAAAAGGAACACAAACATTTATTGATTGGGAAATTTCCAACGCTCGTGTTGTCTGGGATGTTTGCACCCTTGACAATATTTTAAATAATGAATATGTTAATCATCTTTTAGAAGGAAAGGGACTACCAATTACTTATATAACTTATATTACACAACCAGAGAGAGTAAAAAGATTAACCGATATTAGCGTTCAGGCTATTCGCTCTGTATCTAAATTAGTTGCTACATTCATTACATTCTACAAGCAAGGAGACCCAAGTAATGGCTATGAATATGCTGATAAAGAATTTTGTAGATTTTATCATCCGCATCAATCGCACGACCCATTAGACCAAGGCATTTATGATGTTAATAAACACTTAGAATTTCAAATCCAACTGGGTTCAAAACTGATGCCTGGATATCTTTGTAAATCCATTACAGAAGCATTTTACCATGGCGATTATTTTTAAGCAGTATCGCGACCGTCAGTTCGTATTCGGGTTTAGCCACGAAAAAGTGCCGGATAGTAGTTATACTGGTATATCAACAGGCGCAGGTCAAATGATGTTAGTTCGTGTAAAGCCAACGGGGGCTTCACTCCCTGCTAATGATATGCTGACCAGATTTACATTACCCTATTGAGTGAGCAAATTCTTGAGGTGAAGGATTTTGGCATTAAGGTATATGATTAAGTATATTGAAAAAATATTGTAAAAATGTAAAAAATAGAAATCGCACTTTATATTATATTCTGGTGGAAAGCAGTATGAAAAAGTACAACAACGGTAGAATATACTGTATTAGAATCACTTTAGCGATGACATATACATCGGTTCAACAACCCAACAATTAAGTAGGCCAATGGCAGAACATCGGTCATGAGTAAAATATAACATTAAGTCTCACTATTTGATTTATCAAAAGATGAAAGAGTTAGGAGTAGAATTTTTTTTACATTGAACTTGTTGTTGAATGCCCCTGAGATAATTTAGAACAATTAAGAAAGAAAATAGGAGAATATATAAGAACTATGGGAACATTGAACAGGATATGATCGGGCAGAACAGACAAAGAATATCAAATTGACAATAATGAGAAGATAAAGACAATCAAGCAGGTCTATCATCAGAACAGCAAAGATAATCTAAACAAGCGTAGTAATGATCATAATTATGATAATAAAGATGACCTTTTACAAGCAAGAGCAGAAGTGATAGAATGTGAGTGTGGTGTAGTTTATATTAGACAACATAGACTGCGCCATTTAGACAGTGCATTTCATAAACAGTATTTAGACACAGGTGAAGACATAGACCGAAAGGAGAAGAATGTGAATGTGGCTAATAATAATATTTTAATAAGCAGTAGAGGAAGAATATATCAACAAGCAAACGCGGATTTTTTATTAAATCATATTGCAACAATAGAACAGAATCTTTGTATTCAATCTAACAGAAGCGTAGACCCGACAGCATCTGATATATTAATTAACACCAGAGGGAGATTTTGATGTAGATGTTGGAGCAACAAGAACACCAGATTTTAGAGTATTGGGTAGTTCAGTTAATTTCTTGAAAAAGCAAGTGTTACACATAGCCAATTAGCAGGTCCTATAGACCAATTAGAAATCCGGATACAAACGGAGACACAATATTGGAAATAGGAACTAAAAATGTATTGACAGTTAATGACGGGGGTATTGATGTTATGGGTGATATTAGTTGTACGGGTGGTATTGCCCCCAGTTCTGACAAAAGATTGAAAGAGGGAAAAAAAGAAATCAATTCAAAGAAAGCCGTTGAGATGGTAAAGTATATTGAACTTAAAACATACAAATTTATAGATAAAGAGAAATACGGCGACAGACCTTGTGTTGGTATGGTTGCTAATGATTTTTTAACTGAGAAAATTCCTTCAGAATGGGGGAATGTTGTTACAGAAGGAAGAGATGGATATTTAAAGTTTGATTATAGTATGTGTGTTCCGATTTTATGGTCTGCTTAACGATATTCATTCAATGAAATAGATGATTTAAAAAAAGAAGTAAAGAAGTTAACAAAAAGATAATGAAGCATCCCCGAAAGCAAAAGCAAAAGCCAAAAATACAAGCCAATTATTATCTAAATATTAGTATATAGGTAGTAGAATTTCAAAGGATAATGAAAATGGTTGTATTAATCAAAACAGTAATATCAATGAAAATAATTTAGATTTGAGTAATATTGAAAAATTGCAAATTGAAGTATTGAAAGAAATGATAAAGGAAATAAAAGAAGTAAAGGAAAAGAGTGATAAAATATTGTACAGTTTTCCTGTTCAAATATGTAATTACAATTGGTTTCATTAATAATGTTATTTTATAGTAGTATTAATCAATTACCAATTTAGCATTAAATCTTTTATAAAACGTATCATGAACATTTGTTTTCATCGAATTAATAAATAAGAAGCTGTAAGGCTCTTCTGTTGCTATGTTATAAACTTCTAACAATAACTTTTTTGCTTCAGCTTGGTTTTTAGTATCTGCCACGGTTGATTTTTTTAATCAATACCGCGCTTAACTCTTCAACCATTGTCTCAATTTCCTTGTAGTTTCTTAACCTGAAAAAGAATAACTGACGACTATTAACGCGAAAGATAGGACTTAAAGCATTATGTTTGTGTGTGCTTGTTATAATATTGATTGCGTTATGTCTCCCACGAACATACAACTGATTTAGCACAAGGTGAGTTTCTTGAAAAAGCCTTATTGTCGGCGAAATCATCAAGTATTATGAGAATAGAAAATAGTTTTTCGTGGTCGTTCTTCTTCTGATATTCTATTACCTTGTGCTGTCTTTTTATCACCGCTTCTGATTCTTGCGGTATGTATTCATCAACCATACACTTTTCCTTTTCTACATTAACCTTCAAATTATCCTGAATATATTTTTTAACTGGCAACCAATTACTATCAACTGAGATTGAAGGATACCAAATATATATTCTTTCAAAGACATCTCTGTAAGTATCCAATATCACTGATTGTAATAATATTCCTTTACCACTTCCTGAAGGTCCTGTTATTACTTGACTAAAGGGTAATTTAGGTGCTACTTCATATTTAGATTGCTCAAAATACATATTCTTTAACATTGATAGGTTTAACTATAGGAGTACTCATTATTATTCATACATAGAAAAATTATGTCGTTATTATTATGTGAGCGATTATGACGACTATTTAGATGTTATAGACGAGAAAAAGAAAATAGATATAATAAAAACACCAAGATACAGAATGTGTTGTTATACTTTATTAGACTTTTTGAAGGCAGTTTGCTATTATTTGAAGAATATTAAACAATCTAAAGAATATAAATGAGCGAGGCTTCAGAACAAAGCAAAGATAAAGGATTTCGTATTAATGCTGAAGGTATATCTTGTATCCCCTGCCGTTGTAAAAGGCAGTTTTACCATAAGGAGACTAAAACAGTTCAATAAGATAATAAAATCACAACTAATACTAGTATTGATAAAGAAATACTAAGTTTGGCGGTAGAAATGTCAGCCCTGATGAAAACGGTATATTTCAACAAGAGAGACAGTTAAAATCACAACTAATACTATTATTGATAAAAGAAATACTAAGTTTGGCGGTAGATATGTCAGCCCTGATGAAAACGGTATATTTCAACAAGAGAGACAGTTTGAAAGCGTTGAAATATGCGATACAAGCTGGAATAGCAAAGAAAATAGAATTACTCCTGAAGAATTAGAAGAGAGATTAGAGGTTGCTGAGACTAACATTGGTTTAATGAAAAAGATATAGATGAAATCAAAAAAGATGTAGATGATATAAATAGTTATAAAATTAAGATGGATTAAAGCTTAAAAAAATAGAATCTAATCTATATTGACAGATAAAAACCTGATGGTTTTTAACTCTTGAGTTTTTAGCTAAAAACTCAACAGTGTATAGCTTTTGGACGAAGGAGAAAATACCCCTACAATCAAGTCGCGAAGCATCGCGAGGCTTTGCTAAAGCGTCCCCTATTGTTTCACATTGGATGGTATCACGAAAGGGAAGTAGTGTTGGAACATTCAATAGCATCTCATAAGCAGATGCTTAATTAGTTTGTTAAAGCATTAAGTAATCAGAAAGGACTGTTGTGGCGTGTATACATACGCAGTTTTTACAGGTTCAAGAGTTTTTACAGGTTCAAGAGTAGCAGTACCAGCCACAACAGTCCCGTTTGAAGTAAGCGACTTACTTTACTAGCTACACCAGACCGGTTCTAAAACACAGCCCGTGCTCTAAAACTAGGTCTGTCTATTGTTCTGCACGATCAACAACAAAGTAAGAAGTTACAAGCCTTGCTGTTTTATGGAGTAATTTCAGAAACCAAAAAAACCAAAAAAAACAAAAAAAAAAAAAACAAAAAAAACAAAAACCAAAAAAAACAAAATAACCAACCCCATACCTCCGGAGCCGCCCGGTGATATGGGGTCGGTTCTTTTGTTTTTTTGGTTTTTGTTTTTTGTTTTTTTTTGGTTTTTTTGGTTTTTTTCGCTTCTGCACAGGTACGCGCCTCAGCCGAGCGCACTTGCCTCCTTGGCATCTGGTGTTCTAGAAGGGTTCGCAGTTCGTGGTTCTTGTCACGACGGCGACGCCACTGATTCCCGCCACGCGTCCTAGATGTATCACCCAGCAGAAGTTCGTCAATGTATGCACGCCGCGACACCAGCAAAACGTCTCTTGCACTTGCTCATGATGCTCATGTTGCTGCGTTGCTCCAAGTTTGTATTGTGAGATCTGTCATTGATGTCTTGTCCTAGCAGCAACCTTTCTTCATCAAGCGTATCATTCCCGCACTTTCCTGTCCTGCTTTCTGCATCATGGCACGTGCGGCAGAGGACTTGTCTTATGAGGACCTGCAGAAGACGGTAGACCCTATGGTCTGCAGGCCGGTGACGTCTCCAGCAATCCTGCACTTGCCTGCAGGCATCTTCACACCAATGACTCTTCCGCTTCAGGAGATGGGTCCTTCGGATAACCCCTCCATCCATGTGTTCGATGTGATCCCTAGCCACGCAGAAACCATCGACTTCCGTGACCTGGAAGCGAAGTACAAGTTAGCCGTACTCAACCTCGACCTGAGTCTTCTTCCCGCACCGTTTTGTCCACGACAGTCTGTCCCAAAGGATACCAAATTGCAGATCTTCATCGTTCCCACTTCGGATGAGAAACACTACATCATCAAGCATTTCGTCTTCGCCAGCAAGTGCAAAGCCTGCTTCTTCTTGGCCTCCGTATACGGCAAGGCTCACATCTACAGATGGCGGGCGGCAAATCCCAAGGTAGGCAAAAAGATCCTCCAATACACCCTTGAGAACTTGGGGTGCTATCAATTCAAAGTCTTTGACCTCCAAACCTTCTCTGCCGCGAAGAATACCAATACCCGCTTTGAGGACAAGACGGACGAGGAGGTGGATGCGGGGTTTGACTACATTGCCACGGAAGGCCCTCGTTCCTCTAGCGAAATGCAACAGTTGAGGTGGATGATGAAAGCAATCAAGAATACAAGCTCTCCAATCTTCAACTGGCCGAACAGTCTCGTTGAGAAAGCCCTTCGCAATCTCGCTACTGACGGAGCCTTGGCTAAAAAGATTGAGGAGTGGCCTATTCCATTCACGAGCACCTTCTACCATACTTGGGTTCTGGACATCTTCGAAAAGGTGTGGGATTTCGATACCTCTGCCCTGGTACTTCTCGGTGAAGCTGGAGCTGGGAAGTCGCCTTTGGGGCGCAGTGTCTTGATGGCTCAGGTGCGACACAATCAGATCCGCTTCAGCAGTCGCCAAAAACCTTGCATCAGATGTACCCCTGAAATCGATTTCCTTCGTGGTGAGCAGGGACATGTCGCCATGGGGGATTTCTTGGACGACACGACCATCAAGTGGCTCTCAAACAAGATGTTGAAGTCCTTGCTGGACGTGGGTCTATATGAGGCCATGTCATGGGCACGCTGGGGTGCTGTGAAATGGGTACAGAATCAGCCTCGAGCCGTCGCTGACAATACTTTCGATGAGGACTACAAGGTCAAAACAGAGAGCTTCTTGCCCAGTGTCCCCCACGAGGAGTTCTCCAATATCATCAAGCCTGCATTCGGTCCTGACATCACCAAAGCCCACATGAATGCAATCTTCAAGCGAAGCGTCTTCGTGGTAAACACAGACACGCACATCTACTACAGAAAGGCTCGCATCAATCAAGATCGCATTCCTCGTATCGAAATTCCAAATGCGGAGTATATGACGGATGCGGGCAAAGCCTTGTACGGTGTCTTCAAGGATGGTGGTCGTCTTCTACCTCCCGACTTCAACGCCCAGGTGCGTCGGGAGCAGGAATGGGTGTCGAAACTTGTTGAGAAACGCCAACAGGAGCGCCGTCCAGACCATCAGAAACGCTTGCAAGTTCGTGAGGCTCTGTTCGGCCGCGAACCTACCTCATCGGAGCCTCTCCACCGGCGCATCAAGAGGGAACAAGCGGGGGCTCACGCAGAAGCGGTGAGCAAGAAGGCTAGGACATGGGCCACGGAGCTGAAAGCTTCCAAGTCCGTCATCGACCTGGACACGCCGCCACGCCGTTCTTCTGAGCCGGCAAGGCTTGTGCATGTTCCCAACCCAGATTTCGCAAACGACTCCGAGGAGATGGACGTGGTGTCGGAGGAAGAGAATGATCCGCTGGGTTTGGGCATGCACATGGACTGAAGCGCACTTGCTAGGGCTAGATGCTCAGTTTTGCAACCCGCGTAGCTTTCCGATGTTCTTGGTGCTCCCTGCAGTTGCTCGTGGTGATCACCGTAACTATCCATGCTGTTACCATCCTCCGTAATGGTTTCGCATGCTACTTATCTGTCTTCGCAGAACTGCTTTGGAGCACGCACGCAGACCCCATCATGACTTCGCCGCACAAGAAAAAGGTCATGCATTGCACTGCTATATCTCTTGCTGTTGTTGAGATCTTTCGGTGCTGCGCAATGGACTCTTTGCTCATGATGCATGCTTTCGTCGAGTACACTCAGCACGTGCCTCATATCTGTGCTGTAGCGAGCTTCTCAAGTATACAGGTTTGCAGCTTTCGTCAACGACCTCGCTTCCCATGCCGCTCCTCCCAAGCAAACTACGAACGTACAAATACCCGGGTCGGAAATGTCCCGTCTGCTCTGGTAATCTGTACTTCTCCAAGGCAACGAACAGCTTCGCATCGGCGACTTGCCTTGACAGTGAAACGCTTACACTGGTGCGGTCGCAGGCCTCACGATGCAATAGCTGTGGTAGTGCACTTCGTCACAACTTCGTCTGGTTGGGTGGCCAGAAGATCAACTGTATGACCTTTCACCAGATGCAGAGAGCAGGTGTCTACTTCGTGACCCAGAAGACGTGCTTCACCATGAAGTACCTGCATCTGTGCTACCTCCGCCTACTCCGTGCCAAGACCTCCCCTGGACAAGAAGCCGCTGTTCGTCTCCTGGCAGATTCGCACCACCCGCTACAGTTTTGGCAAGAACATTCCTTGCGCGATAATCTCCTGCACGCCCTCGAGGGCTTCGCCGTGGCCAAGAATGAGCCGGATAAGGTCATAGAGTTTAACCTTGAGTACCCCGCGAAGTCCATCGTGAACATGTCCGGTGCGTCGTCCCACGTCCATGTCTTCGAGCCGCCCACGTCCGTTACCGCGGTCTGCTGCGACGGCAACTTCGGAGTTCATCGTGCTCTGCTTTCAGGAGTGGACCCTCCCAGGTCTGTGAGACTGAAAGGCAAGCCACGCAAGCTCATTGGTGATTTCACACGCACATGCTCCTGCAAACAGAAGGACGCTGTACGTCAGGTGCTACCCGATCGGACTGCTGGATGGCAATTTGTCTTGGACCCTTCCTCTCAACGTCTTCTTGGGGCTTGCGAACATCTCGTAAATGAACGGTCGTCCGACAAAGTTCGACTCCTGCAAGCCGTCCTCGATATGCCAAACATGAAGGTTGACTTCATTATCCATGATGATGCCTGCCACTTGGAGGAGTCCGTTTCCTGCTTTCGTTGCTTTACATTGCTTTTGCTTTGCTGGTTCTGCTAGTTGTTGTGTCTACTACAACTTCATGCGCAGGAGTTTATCAAGAAGCACAAGGCATCTGGCTTCCAGGATGTCAAATACTACATCATCGACAAGTTTCACCGGCCGAATCATACCTGCAGTAAAGAAAACTCACTAGGGCCGAAGACCGCCGTGCCCGCGACACGCGTACCAACACCGCGGAAATCTTTAATGCGTGGATTCGCCCCCTGAACTTTTTTCTGAACAGCCTGCGACCCCACAGTCACAAATTTTGGGTACTGGAGGCATGCAAGTTCTTTAACCTCCATGGTCGGGCGCAGCACGGAGTGCTGACTCGACGAACGACTGCCAAATCACGCAGTGTTCACAAGAGGCCCAGCGCGAAGCGCCTGAAGCGATGACGACAATAGGCCGCGACCTTATTGCTCAGGGACAGCAAAAGAAACACTGTTGCTGCATGCCGTGCTTCTGATGAGCAGCGTGACTACATGCACATTCTTACCTATGCTCGCTTCAGCCGCCTCTCAGACACACGTAGCCTTTCCGTAGGTTGTAGCTTTCTTCGTACTCGCGATGCCGTACTCGGTGGTGTCCGTTTCAGGCCACATGTCCCGCAAGGGTGGTGGCAAGTTCACCCTGGACTTGGGTGTGAGCGCTGCGGACTCAACCCCGGACCGCGAACCTCCGGCAGCTAAGACGTTGCACCAGCAGCTGCAGGATGGAAGCCTCCCGGCACATCCGTCCAAAGCGGCTATGACTGTTCGTAATCTACAGACCCAGATCGCTAACATCAAGCGCAGCGTGGGTTTGGGGTCGAATAGCTGGTCCGATGAAGCTGAGGAGGCCCTTAAGACTTGGCTACGTCGCCCTAAACTGTCTTCGGCTTCTTCCTCCATTTCCGGGGACCGCGACAGTGGGTCAAGTCTCAAACGTAAGATGCTCGTGATGGCCCAGACGATCGACGACCTCGAAGGCGTAGTGGCTCGCGCCCAGTGGGATGCAGAAAAGCACGAAGAGACCGTGACTGAGCTCAAGAAGCTCAAGGCTATTCTCAAAGAGAACGGCCTTCAGCATCTGTATGAGGAAGCCTCATGAGCATCTGCCGCGTTGTTTTTTCATGTTATATGTACACATGCATCCGCATAGTTTTCCATGTCGCGTGTGGTGGCACAGAGATCCGCTGCATCAGAGGTAGCAAAGAAGAAGGAACCCATGCTTATCTTCTGCTTATCTTCCCACGCCACAACAGTCCCCTCTCTAAGTAATTGGCTTTATAATCTTTTATCATAAAGCGAATTATATGACTATATATACTGACAAAATCATAGTGTCATTCTCTAATAATTATGATGGATTTAGTCATAAATTTTTGGAAGTTAGAGTTTGTCCGGTATGTAATGTATGTAAAGAAATGGAAAATTTCATAAGCTTACAGAAACACAAAGAATACAATATCGTATTTAGGAGATGTTTAGATAAGCAGAACGACAATAGAAAAAAACGCAAAGTTTTAAGAAAATTTTAAAAATAATCTAAAGCTTTTATATGAGCGATGTAGATGGTGTTGTAAAACCAACCAAGCACATCAGCACTCAAAAGATTTTAGAAAAGTTAGAACTCATTGAGAAAAAGATTAACGAATTACTAATTAAACCTAAACCGGTTAATAAACCAATGGATAAAGATAGTGATGTGTATGAGAAGAAGAGAAATGTTTATGTGAATAAATTGAATAACAAGGATATTAAGTTTCCGAAGAAGGAGACATTAGAATATTATGAGATTAAATTTGACGACCAAGAGAGAGCGTATTAGATAATGTCAAACCAAAACCTCGCAGAACCAAGCGGAATGGCAAAACTTTATGTGTGACAATGAATGGATATACACGAATAGCATTTTACTTATAATAATTAGTAAGATTCTATAGGATAAGGGTTATAATCTTTTGGGGATTTTCTAATAGGGTCTTACCCCACACCTCATATTAGGATATGGGTCATTTTATGGTTGAGGGTAGGGTTTGTTTAGGTGCTTTGGGTTTGGGATTGTGTAACTTATGGATTGTTGTATTTGTTGGTGGGTTGCTTTGTTTTGGGAGTATTGCTTTTGTGTTGGGAGGTGCTTTGTGTATTGGTGTTTTGGAAGGTTGATTTTGGGAGGCGGGTTGAGAATTGAGGTAAAAGTGTAGGGGGGGGTATAGGATGTGAGGTGTGGGGTTAGCCTCTGCTTTCGGTTTTTGTGGGTCAGGATTGTGGTAAGATGGTGGATGTAGGTAGTGCTTTTGGTTTGGGTTGTATCAGGAAGGTCGGTTTATTAGGTGGTTAGCGAAATGGGGTCAAAGCATAGGGGGGAGTATAGGATGTGAGGTGTGGGGTTAGCCTCTGCTTGCTACTAGAGCCATTCAACTATGACGGTTTGTTGGTTCGGCATGCTGCGGGGACCCGAGTGGAACGGTGAGACAGGCTGCGGGGTTGTCAGAGCACGCGTGACCGTCGGGCAAGGACTGCAACTTCCGTATGCCCTTAGCATGGCCTCTGGTGCGACTGCTTTGCCACCGTTTAAAAGTTGCAGCATTTCGGAGCCTGCATTTGGGACCGCCGGACCAGGCCCGGCTAGATCCAAAGTCCGCTCCACTGAAGTCCGCTCCGCTGCTCCGCTGCTCCGCTGCTCCGCTCTCCACTCCGTTGGAAGATCCGCCCGCCGCAGTGGGTTCCAACGCGACGCTCTCTTCACCTGCAACGCACAGACGCCGGTTGCATCACGTCTGGGATTCTGCATGGCTGCCTGCTGTAGTTGTGAATTTCTTGTCATGCAAAGTCTCTGTGTGTGTGCACACTTCTCGTGTCATCCTTGAAGCTCATGTCAAGTCTTAATGCGGGCCAGCACAGCACATCATCGCCAGTCGCGAAAGTAGACGACCAGAGGCTTGCAGAGCGCATGGGCGTGGAAGAAGCTCACATGCTTGGCTTGCAGGCGCACCAGCAGCAGCCTCTGCTTTCGTGGGGACATGCATTGGCGCTTGCCCGGAAGGAGTTCAGCAACATCTGGGACCAGAAGCAGCAGGACTTTGATGCTCGCGCTGGAATCTTGGATGGAGCCCCCCCATTCTAGCGGAATCTAGCGGAATCTAGCGGCGTAGCGGTCTCCCCGCCTCAGGCGAACCAGTTGCAGAAGGTCCTCGCGACCCGACATAAGCAAGAACACCAGGAGCCGCCGAGCCACTCAGAAGGTCCCCGCGTCCAAAGATATCCCGGCGATCCCTGAAGGCACACTTGGAGAAGCTCCGAAGAGAAGTGGAGCCGAGGAGAACGGCGGGGTAACGGGGTTTCGGCAAAAAGAACACCTGGCCGCCTCCTGGCCGCCAGAGGACACCGAGGTGGAGCCGCGATCTCCTCAACCTGCGGAAGATCCAGGAAACTGCGATGCAAAACGATCGCCGCTGCTGCCGATCGCCGCCTCAGGGCTGTTTCTGCAGGAGACCTTGGCCAAAATGCGGAAGTACGCAGAGGCTGAGAAGACCAAGGCCACACTGTTCTGGCGTGGTTTCTCGTGCTCCGCGATTTGGCTGTGTGTGTGAAGGTTCAGGCAGACAAGCTGGAAGCAAGAGAGCACAACCAATGGAAGGTCCAAAGTGCATCAGTGCCGCAAGAGCTCGGGGGGTGGGGATGGGGCAAGTGCAGGAGAAGCGTGAAGCCAGGATTGCGGTTATGGAGGAGCAGCCAGGGACCCGGTAAAAAGGGGGCAAAGCGCGGCAAAGGCACAGAGGAGAAGTCGTGGCAGGTTCCTGCACAAGCAGCAGCTTGAGATGGGGGGCCTGCTCAAGCGGCTCAAGCGGCTCGGCTCGGAAAGCGAAGCTTCGTCGCCGTGTCGTGAGCCCCGAGATGCCCCGGCCAGGGCCTCCCGCGAAGAGCTCCGGCGCAGTCGCAAGGCGGAGATGGAGCGCCTGCTGCAGCGCTCGGCCCTCGGCTCTCAGGGCCCCCACCAGCAGCGGCCATGCGGAAGGGGGCGCTCTGACAGAGCCTTGCGTGAGGCTACCAAAACCTGAAGATGCAAATGGAGAACCAGCAGCGCATCATCCAGCAGCGCGTGGAGAGGCCCCAGAGCCCCAGAGCCTCACAGCCGCAGGGCCTCAGCGGAGTCTTGCCAGGTACCCAATCACGGCGCCGATGATCAATAACAGCTCCAGGCCCCCATCAGGTGGGCCTGTGCCCTTTGGCTAGAAGCGGAATGATGCTTACCGACTTACCGCAGCTTCAGAGTTTTCTTTGTTTTCCCGAGGTCATAGCTCGTTTCACTCCAGAGGCATGCGCTTCTCTGTGAGAGATGCCTCAGCCCATGTTTCACAAGTGTTTCACGCATGTGCCCCAACTTGCCGCAAATACAAGCTCGGGGAGTTCATGTGCTGCCCCTGATAAACCTAAAAAGCACTGACTCCCTGGCAGTGTTACGCTTCGCGCTTGTTATGCTCCTATTCCAGGCTCCAAGTGGAATGCACATCTCGCAAGGAGACCATGTAAGTATCAGACATGCACAAGACAAACGGCACGAGACACCTGCAGAAGGCATAAGCCGTCAAGTCAACGCATTGGCCCAGTGTGGTCGTCTCGGCGTAACATCTCGCTTGGCTGAGGAGGGGTTAGGTGCGGCGGCAGGGGCAGCAGGGGCGTTGAATGCTTGAAGTCTTGAGAGGAATGGACGACTACCGCGAGGCAGCGTTTGCAGCGTTTGTGCTGTGCGCAGCTGTGCAGCTGTGTTCACTTCGGGCGTCAGGCACAGCGAGCCAAGTGGCTTCGAGCCCAGTCCCAGCAGTCCCAGTCCCAGAGCACCCAGGCCGGGGGCCGCTCTTTGCAGTGCTTGGGAAATTCTCATGGCTTCTCTTTGTTGCCTCCACTTTGCCCACTTTGCCCTTGGCGTCTTTCCGAGTCAGCTGAGCGCTCAGTTGCAGGAAGACGCGGCTCACGTGGGCGCGAGCTCCCAGGGCTCTTTGGCAGAACCACGACCAGAGGCTGATCGGAGGGAAATGGAGTGAAAAAGCGAGGGATTGAGGGGTCTTTTCCCTCTCCTCGCCTCTCTGATGCTAGCGGTTGTTGCAGGTGCACTCCCACGCTGCGGGAGCGACGGCTGTGGCGGGAGCTCCGGGGGCGCTCCGTGAAAGCTCCGGCTCCTCGCTCAAGCAGCCCGAAGCTCAGATCCGGCTCAGCGGATCGCGCCGCTGAGCGTCAGTCACCCCCGCCGGGCTCTTTTCTCGCCGCACCGCACCGGCACACCGCCGCACGTGCGCCGTTCCGTTTCAGGAATGCTCGCCGCGTCCACATCTTGCCGGTCTTCCCGAGTTCCTGCGACCAGAGCCAGCACAGAGCTGAGCAGCTGCGAGCAGCATTGCCCAGCGCTTTGCAACTGCTCCGCAGAGCCTGGCCGCCAGGCGTTTGGAGATCTTGTCGCCCCTTCTGCGAAGCATGCGAAACAGTCAGGAGATGAGAAAAAGCTGCCTTCTGTCTTGTCATGAAATATCGAAGCAGCCGCGATGTGCAGACGCCCGTGAAGACGGGGCTGTTTCTGAGACCTGCTGGATATGAGTTCGTCGTGGTCGTGGCTTCAGCAATTGAGTCCTGGTCCTTGCCACTGTCAGTGGCGTCATGATCCCTGTTCCGACAAGGTGAAATGCGAGCCAGATGACGCCATTCTAGCAGCTCCCTTACAGTGATGTCTCTGGCGGAGCAGCTATGCATTCAGAATTCAGACTGAGGCCATGAACACCGACTACTTCATTGAAGGATCTCCACTGAAAAGGTTCGAGAAGGTGGGTTTATATAGGGGAGCCGGCAGTGCCCCCCTGCCCTCGCCCTCTGGCCGAGGTTCAATTCATTTGTCTCTGGGACTTCGAACGGACTCGGACAGACCAGGAGCCGACGCAACTGAGAAATCGCAGCCTTGCACTCCGCCAGCCCCCCCCAAAGTGTGCTTTAAAGATATGGCCGCGCGGCGGCCGCGGGGCGCGGCGCGGGAGGGCACCTGAGCAGCAATCGACAGAAGTCGGCAGAAGCGGAATCTGAGCGGCGGCGTTTGCAGCGAAGCGTCAACTTCCGCCCCCGCCAGGATTCCGCTCCAAACAGGAGCGATCCGCGCGCGCGCGCGATCTCCGCTCCCGGAAGGCCCAAAGGGACCGTGGCCGTTTGGAGCCCCCCCCTCCCCTCCCTCCTTTGACGCAGAGGGAACGAACCCCGCGCGTCGCGGCGCGCTTCGGAGTCCCCCGTTTCTCACGTAAGCCCAGCAGCATTTTGTGGACTACATCCGACCTTCTGCTCATGTCGTGGTTTCCAGGATGCGACAGCCCTGTTCCAAGAGTACATCAACCCGTACTTCAAGAGCTTGAACTCCAACGAGGCAATGATTCCTCCCGAGAGCAGAAGTCGCGCGACCGAGAGCAGAAGAGAGCAGAAAGTGAGAGAGAGAGAGAGAGAGAGAGAGAGAGAGGGCAGCGGGCCATGGGCCATCATGGGCCATGGCTCGGAGTTACTCCGCCGTCTTTGTTGGGTGGCGAGAGCCTGCCGAGCCTCGGCCCCTGCTCCAGGCAAAGCGCCGGGTGACTTCGACCTTAGCCGCTTCGCGGCCGCGAGAGAGTAGTGGAAACCCTTTTTTTTCAGAGGGCCGCCTTGTGGGGTTTTAAACGGCTGCCGCCGGCACTCGGTTCGCCCGTGCCGTGGGTCTTGGGACCTCCTGCGAGTGAACCTCAGAAGTTTGCTCATACCACTCCTCACTTTGGCTTGCCACCAACATGTGGTGGCATTGCGAAGGGCAAGGCAGGGAGCGTCGGTGCGGTCAGGTCGTGTAAACTCGCAGCTGCGCAGATAGGTTGGCTGTAAACGAACTGCATATTCATTCCATCACGCCTTGCATCAGGGGCGCGCACTGGCACAGAGGGGAGCTTACCCGAAAAGCAGCGGCAGCAACAATCTACGCAGACTTAGAAAGAAGCGAAAGACAGGCTGACAGCAGACAGAACGGGAGCTGGCAACACAAAGAGAGAAGAGAACCTATGCCCAGAAGAGAGAGAGAGAGAGAGAGAGAGAGAGAGAGAGAGAGAGAGAGAGAGGCGTGGGAGGACTGCTCCCGCTCCTAGCGGTCCTAGCCCCTAGCAAAGCAAAGAGTGGCGTGGGCACAAAGCAAAGCAAAGAGAGAGAGATGCAAGGGTAGCTAATGGTAGCTAGGAGCTCCGGGGCTAAGGGGCAGCCTTGGTCTCCTCTCAGCAGACACGGTAGACACGGACAGTGGCGTAGCGCTGCGCGCAGGGCGGGGGGGACACGTGCCCCACTTCCCAAACACCTTGCCAGCAACCAAGCAAGCAAGAGCTAGAAGTATGCTTGCCAATCACGCCGGTCTCCCTGATGTTGCATGTGTCGAATAATGATTGAGCTCCCTGAAGTTTTCACAGTCCAATATACTTCTCGTGCCGCCTTCGTGGAATGTCAATCATATGTTCACACTCCTTCAAAACCCCATAACACATGGGGGGCGCTATGTGGCCGCGGATTCTCACCAGCCCCTCATGCCCTGGCAAAGAAAACATGAGATAGATAGGATACAGAGAGAGAGAGAGAGAGAGAGAGAGAGAGAGAGAGAGAGAGAGAGAGAGAGAGAGGGAGTGCCGTGGGGGAGGGAACGGAGGGGCACTGAATCCATACGGGGAAGCCGCCAGCCACGTACAGTCACATACGAGTGGCGGGGGACTTCACCCAAATGTGCAGCAGAGCCTCGGGGAGTGAAACACCCTCGAGGAAGCCGAGGACGTCTCGCGAATAGCGGGTGTGCGCTTCGCACGGGGGGCGGGGCCTGGAGGCTGCCCCAAACCCCAAGCCCGGTCGAGAGAGAGAGAGAGATAGGGAGTCAAGCAAGCAAGCCAGCAAGCGATAGGGAGTAGCTTCGGCCGCGTGCAAGCATGAGATAGGATAGAGAGATGGAGAGATACGGAGATGGAGAGACAGAGAGGCAGAGAGTTAAAGAGACACAGGTAGAAAGGCGGAGATCGTAAGATCGAGAGATAGAGACACCGAGAGATGGCGACTGGATATAGGGATAGAGAGACGGAGAGGTAGAGCAGTACATCATTGAGATAGAGAGATCGAGAGATCGAGGCATCGAGTGATAAAGAGACAGAGTCATACTAAGAATGTGTTCATAAGAGACGAGATTGGCCAGATGTTTCAAAACATGTCATGAGATAAGGGCATCCAATAGTTTCAGACTTTGAGCAATGGAGCGAATCCCAGTCCGAGATCCATCGGCTCTGACATCAGCCGAAGCAAAGGAATATGGCCAGGTCACGAGTATCGTCAGTGTCAACGAGCAGCTACAGATCAATGGCATGGAGTTTCAGGCACTGAGTGGGGCAGAGCGAGAGAGAGGAACAGAGTGTTGCTGGCGTTTCAATATGTAGCCCGATGGACAGGTGATGGCTGCTGAGCCTGTTCCACCCGAAATCGGCATCGTTGATCTGAGCACCGTGGTGCCGCTGACATCTTTTTCATGGGGGGGGACAGGGACATTTCGAGCTGCGGCCTCTGTGAGGGCTCGCGACGCTAGGTATTCGTCGATTGGGACAACACGTGCTGGGCTGTGCTCTTTCTGTGCTCGCTTCGTCTTCTCGCAGCTGCCGCTTCGAGGCCCGAGTTCTCCAAGATCCACTTCGTACCCTTCCAAGACACACTTCCTGCAGCGCGGGGTGGCTCAGAGCACGCGCTTAGCCGCTTAGCAGACCCACAGACGCATGATGACGCATGTCAGCTTTGTCGGCTTGCCCGCTCGGCTTCCAGGTATGAGTACGACATCTTCAACGATTACTTGAAGCCATACCTGACACGGAGAGACCTGCTCGTTGCGCTCGTGACTTGCTACGACGCTCATGCTGGGCCACCTTTGGGGAAGCGAGGAACAAGCAGCAGAGCTTCGCCATGAATGACCAGTTCACATTTCAGGTCTGTGCAGCTGTGCGCATGTGTCTGTCTCTTGGCCTCGTTGTGCTGTTGCTCTGCAGGGGGTTCAGTTCAAAGTGGTCTGCTGCGAGCCGCGTGGAGAGCGAGGGCGAATTGGCAGGGAGCTGAGAGAAGGGAAAGGAAGCGAAGACCAGCAATCTGACTTCAACGTGAGGCAAGAATACCACAATCTACTGCGAAGGAGCCTGGAACTTGGCAAAGGCGTCACCACACGCAAATGTCCCGAGATTGAACAAAGTTGCAGGTTCTTCACCCGTCGCTACGCAATCTTCTACCTCCGGAAATGCCGCTGCCTCAACTGTCTCTTTGTCATGCACCTTTTAAAGCGAGCCTTGGACCAAGAGTTGCAGAGGGTGTCGCAGTCTGGCCAGATTTGTGTTTCGGTGCGTCCTTCATTCTGCGTACTTAGCGGGCCTCGTGTGCCAAACTCAAGCGCTCGAACAGCAGCAAACCTCATCCGGCTGAGGGTGCTGCTTGGGGCCTGCAGATTTGGTTTAGGTGTGTATGAAGCTTCCTCTGCGAGAACATAGGAAAGGGGCCCCCTGGTCAGGAACGAAGCTCCGAACTTACCAGGTGTTCATTTTTACACGGCAAACATGTGCCATCAGGCACGTGCGGGTTCCAGTGCACGTAAGTAGGTTATCAGCCGTTTACGGTCATGTTTGAGTGTGATCTTGTGAAGCTGTCCGTGTAGAGTGGCGGAGCCAGCCACGTTTTTGGCTTGACGGATCTGCTTCTCAGAAATCAGAAAGCAGAAACAAGCGTCTCCAGGAGCACTGGAACGGAGGAGGGCTGATGTCAGGTCATGTTCACATTCGCAGCCACAATCCGCGGTCGTTGACACTGAACAACGTGACATGTCGCCGACCAAATTTCGACCGCGCCTGCTGAAGCTCCTGCTTGCAATAGGTACGTCGTCAGACTGAGCTATTCTTCTTCGACTCGATGCGGTTGAGACATGTTCATGAGACGTGATGTTTCAAATGGCTTAATTTCGACGGGCACATGGAAGACCAGCCTCATTGCGTTGCATTCGGGATATCCTGAGCCAGAGTTTGAGCCAGGGCGGCCGGTGAACGAGTTTTGGCCAAATCGAACATGCTTGCTTGCAAAACAGACCGTCCCCTCGATGCTACTGATCGTTTCTCCTGCACCTTGAAACTTCGGACATTTGTCTCTTCATGGCCGTTGACTTGGTGGTTCGGGCGTGTGATGTTTGGTCAGAATTTATCCTTCATCCAGGCATCGAACTCGTTTGGTTCAAGACAAAACAGCTGCGTGACTGTGCTTGTTTGTTTGATTACTTGAGCACGTCGGTTTCGCACGTGTTTGACTGGTCAACAGCCTCAACATTTCCATATCGTACCGTGGTCGTGTAGCTCGGCTCTCCCTACGTGGGTCCTCCGAGGTCTTGGCGCTCCCGGTGCGTATGGTCCGGGTGCTGAAGCATGTTGCTTGGGATAATGAATGAAGTTTCTCCGCACATCGACGGCCCTGCTATGGGCCGCACAGCCAGAAAAGTTGAGGACCAAGACGAGGTCCTTGCTGCTGTTGCTCGGGCCGCTGCGAGTCTTCAGGGCTCCTGTGATTATATCGTCCCCGGCTGCGCTTTTTAGAATCCTTCGGCTGCAGCTGGACTTTCTTGTACTTCTTCTCGGACTGCAGTCCCTCCGCACGTCTTGCACCACCAGCGCCACGAACTCAACCAAAACCACGTGCACCTCGAACACTGTCGCAGAGCCTACAATGAGATGCTCTTTTTGTGACTTCCCTTGCGTCCGGGCCCCGTTTGAACTTTGTCGGCTTGGACTTCTGCCGCTTTTGCCCGGAGAGTTGAGCTTGGCACTCGCAGAGACGTAGCAAAGGCAACTCCGTTGCGGTGCTATTTTGCTCTTCGCTTCGCTTGGACCTGGCACGGAAGCACCACCCCTAGAGGTTTAGCCCTTGACTTAGCCTGATAGTTGGGTTGCTCCGGTGCGGCCTAAGTGCGAGACCCCAGATCTTCTTCTGACTTCTGCGATTGCTTCAGTCGATAACGCCACGCTCGGGGAAGCCGCTGCACCCTGGACGGACAGCTTGCATGCTACTGTTGCTGCATATGGATGGCCTTTGGGCCTCGGGTTTATTTCCATGATAAGAACAGCATGCGTTGACCTGCCGGGTGCAGTTGTGTGTGTATGTATGCATACAAGCATGCCAAGATAAGCCTTAATTTTGGGGCATCCAGTTCATCAACTTGTCCCAACAAACAGCTAGGGCCCCAAGTGCCAAGCCCTGCAGCAGCCCTAGAATTCCTAAACTCTATAAGCCTCTAAGCCCGCAACCGTGCCACCGACTTGGAGTCCCAGCCACTGCTGGGTAAGCACACTCTTCTAAGTTCTTGTCTTGATCCTCCTCTCGTCTGCGTCGATCCCTTTGACCTGTTTAGCCTTATTCCGCCCTGCTCGCCGTGGCTCTGCGCGCGTGCGGTGGCTCTACAGTTCTGACGGTTCTCTTTACACGCTGCGCCCCACCTTGTTGGCCGCGCAACGGAAGTACCTGGACCTGCTGCCTTACTCCAGGTTGGTGTGGGAGATTACTTCGAGATGGGAGTACGCGGAGCCACCTGAGCACAGAACTCCGGTATCCATTGGCCTACCATGATAACGTCCAGATCAGACTCCATCCGTTCACGCAGAGCATCCATGGGCTCACCATCCAGATCAGACTCCGTCCGTTCACTTAACAATACTCAAAGCATCCATGGGCCTACCATGATAGCGTCCATAACAGACTCCGTCCGTTCACTTGCAGCATCCATGAGCCAACCATGATAACGTCTGATCCAGACTCGGTCCTTTCACTTAGAGCATCCATGGGCCCACCATGATGACGTCCAGATCAGACTCCATCCGTTCAGTAAGAGCATCCGGATCAGACTCCGTCCGTTCACTTTCAGCATCCATGGGGCCAACCATGATAACAGACCCCGTCCGTTCACGCAGTGCCGGACGAGCGGGGGGGGAGCGGGTGGGAGCCTGGCATTCATGCTCTAAGCTTTAAGCTTTCTTTCCAGACGCTTTGTTCGCCGAAGCGGCTCGTGCTTTCGTGGACCGTGCTCAATCCGTTGGCTATGTACAAAAGGACCCCATGAGCTGGGGCATGGCCCCCAAGAGTTCACTTCCTAATGTTTTAAAGCAGGTTTTAAAGCCACGCCCGCCATGTAAACCTGCCGTACCTACTACTACATCCTTTGAACGGCGTGCGTGAACGGCATGTTGGCACGCTTCACAACTAATCAGTAATCGACCATATCCTAAAGTAACATTGCGTGTGATTGCAGTGCAGAGTGCAGTGCATCCGCAGCCCCTTCGTGCAAAGGAAGGCGTGGGCTTTAATTTTACACAACCCGTTCGCGGACTGTAGTATGTGTTGGAGGCTTGTTCCACAAGAATCAGTCTTGTCTTGGTTGAAAGAGCCAGGGTCGGGTCGTGTTCGAAAGCGTTCGCAGCATTAAGTTCTCAATATGGACGTTGCCCAGGCTAGAGCAACTGCAAAGCTTGCCCCCCGGGCTGCAAATGATGCTGCTCAATACGGAGGAGCCGTGGACTTGTAGGCTATGTGCCCGGGTAGCACCAACACTTCGGGCAGGCTCTTGCTGGTGGTTACGAAGAGCGTTTGATGGAGGCTGTGCCGGATGCGAGTGGGATAAGCCATGGTACCGCCGCAGTACGCTCGTCAGGTCCAGGAGATCCTGTCCAGGCGGCATGGCATGGCTCAAGAGGTCATCGACCGCATCCCATCTTTCAGGCTGAGAGCACATCAGGGCATTGCGGCATCATGTCGCATCAGCGCTGATGCCCGTGCAGGTGGACTGAGGACCAAGGCAGACAGACGGGACAGACTCAGTGCATGGTCCCGGTCTTGGAAACAGAGCGAAGTCTGAACATGAACATTTGTGATTTTGAGGTTTGCTTGTGTCCTTTCGATGACGACGAGGTGGAATCAGATCTAAGTAGATCCTCGCCACAGCTGCTCCGTTGCTCAGAAGGTGCGGCGACTGCCCTGCGGGCACGTCTTCCATCGAAACTGCATTGATGAGTGGCTGTTGTCCAAGTGCCAGCTGTCGCTTCTGCACACTGCCAACACATATTCTCCGTGCTGAAGGCTCCGCCGATGCACGGATTGCCCGATCTGCAAAGCCAATGTTGACCGGTCAGTTGTCTCCTGAGGTGTGGTTTCCGTTGCCTCTGCAGTTTCTGGCATGCGAGAGTGATCACGCCGAGGTCCGGCAGTATTGACTCACCTTGACAGCGTCGCAGCCCGCATGAAAAAGGATGTCCTGGAAGTGCTAATGTGGCTACGGCGTTTACAGGGGGTAGCAAAAGCGACTCTTGCGGACGTCTGCCTTTTAGGCAACAGGTGACACAGGGGACAGGCAGATTGGACACACGGGGAGCACATGCGCCCTGCCCTCCCTTAGCCGTTTCACGTTTCACCTCTGACCCGCCGCTCCTCGCATGGGCGTCGCTCGGAAGCGGGCCTGCCAGGCTAGGGCGGAAGGGGTCCTGCATGGAACCGCCTCGCTTCGCTGCACATCGCACTGCGCCCGGTCGCACGAGGCGGCGCTGGAAGTCTGCTTCGGCCAGCTTGAGGAGATCACGCCAGAGTCTTGCTTTTGCTCTCGCCAGAGTGGCCGTACTTTGCTCAACCGCCGTGTCCCCCCCAACCAATGATCCGACCATGAAGGGTTCCTCTCCACAACAACCCAGCCCAGCCCTCGCGTGTCTTCTGCGGTAGCGCAGATGCAAGTTGAGAAAACGACGAGCGGAAGGGAAGGGGAAGGGGAGTCGCTGCCGGGGCCCTTGGGCCGAGCGCGCGCGTTTCAGTGGGCAAAGGGGCGGGGGGCCGTTTGGGCCACACAAAAGCGGCGGGGGTTTGGGGGGGCCATGGCCATGTTGCAGAGATATGCGGCGGCGGGGGGGGGGGAGTCTTCTGCCCACGCAAGGGAAGGGGGGGGGGGGGGGGGGCATCCGCGGGGGCCATCCGCGTCGAGACGAGACTGTTTCCGAGGCCTTTCGCCCGAACTCTACTTGGATGTGCGCCGCCGCGGGGGGGACCTTGCAGCTTTGCGGCCTTAGGCGGCCTCGCATCTTGCATTTGTGCAGTGCAGGAATGCAGGAAGAAGACACGCACCTGCAGGGGGGCCTTGGGGGTGGCGGCGCCCCGCAGGTACTGCTTGCGGTTGTTGCCTTTGTCTGACGTCGGCGATCGGTTTTGGAGGTCCCACGGGCCCAGAAAGGGAGGGCTTTAGGGCAGTCCGCGCACGTGATCCTCTCTTCCCCTCACCCGGTCACCCGCCGGCAGGTTTTCTGGACTTGACCCTGCAGGGCCTCCATGAGAGATGGCAGGAAGCCGAATGCCAGGCAGAGCCAGAGCCAAAGCCAGAGAGCCGGAGGCAGAGCCGGTTTCCGCTCTTGAGGTGCTGGGACCAGGACGCATGACCACCTTGGCAACGAAGTGCGAGGAGTTCGGCGTTGGCGGCTGCACGAGGCGGACAGAGATGTGGAGAGAGCTTCTAAGCGCAGTACGTGGGCTACAGGTTGGGCGAGTATCGAAACGTGCTCTCCAGCATCTTTGTGAACTACTGCCGGCGGCTTTCCATCATTGCGGAGAGCGGTGGCTTCGACCCTGTGCTGAAGATTCCAGGCAGAAATGCGGAAGACGGGGGTCTTTGCTTTGACGCACAGGCCAGGACTGCAAGGGTGCATCAAACGTGGTTACGAGCACGCGTTCCGGCGTCTTCCCAGGCCGACCGATGCGGCAGCGACTCTCCGATTGACCTCCAAGAGGAGACGGCCCTTATACGGCTGATCTCTGTGAGGTGCCGTGACAAAGCGGGGAGCCGTGAGCCGTCGTTGTCAGGATCGGCGCTTGCAGCTGTTGACAGAAAACCGAAGCAGGCCAGGACCGGCGACCCGCGGCGACCCGACCGTTTGCCGCCCCCAGCCTCTCTCTCTGCAACGCTCCGAGGATTCCTTGCTGGTACAACCGCCTGGAGGAGACAAGCGATGCAGACCGGGACGGGGACGAGGAGGCGCGGCGCAGCGAGGGATGCGCGCCGCGGTGCTTTCTGCTCTCTTTCTCAGCTCTTTCTGCGCTGCTCTCTCTTGCTCCGCGCGGCTCATCGCGGCTGCTCTTTTTTAGGCCACGGAGGCCTTTTGCACGGCGCCCCCCAACGCGTCCACGTGCAGCTTCCAGAAGACCTCGCAGGCTCGGGAAAAACGCCCCGAGTCTTAGAGTCTTACTGCTAGCACTTCGCTGCCTTCTGTTCTTGCCTACTGTTGGCCGAAGATACCCAGGGCAAAAAGTCAGTTTGAGCATGGCATGGCACTGGCTTCCTCCTTTTTCCCGTGCTGTGTTCTGTGCTGACTGCCCGACGAGGCACGCTACACGCTGCGCTTGGAGGCGGAACCCTGCACGCCACGCCCTGCGAAAGGCAGCGGGAGTGGGAGCTGGGAGGGCGAAGTCAGAGTTTTTCGCTGAAGTCTGAAGGCAGCATTGGCATTTCGGTGCTCCTGGGCGGCCTGTTATTGGGTGCGGATCTTAGAACGTCGTTTCTTGTCGCTGTGGCAGTGGCCCAGTGGAGCGGCTCGCGGCGGCCGAGGCTTCTTGGCTTGTGGCTTAGCGTGCGCACTCCGTGCCAGGCCCACTGGCTAGGAATCGCTCTCTGCACTCAGCGTGCACTCCGTGCCAGAGCTGTAGAGGCGGGAGCTGCTGACGGATTACGAGGACGAGTTCACGGAACACTGAGCCGCAGAACCGAACCGAACTCCCAAAGTGACGTCACTGTGCACATCTGTGCACATCTGTGCGTCGGTGGCCTCTGTCTAACCGCGACTTGTGGCTTGCCTGGCTTGCGGTCCTTGCGGTCCCCCAAAGCAACGTGTCCGCGTGCCGAGCTGCCTCGGACCCCGAGTCATGCCGAAATCCGCGCCATCCGAGCAGAGAGACTCAGCAGTTGCGGCGCCGCTGGGAAGACAAGAGGCCTCCGTTCGCAAGCGCACGGCACTGCGGTGGTGGCGCTCTCATAGCTCCTAGCGGTCTCATAGCTCCGAGCTTCGCAATTTCGCTCGGCTTGTGGGGCGGGCAGCACGCTAGGCTGACAGCAAACACAGAAGAATGTAACAGAATGCAGCGACATTTCGGAAGGGTAAGTGATCGACTGTCTCTGTGGCATAGTGATGGAGCCATGCACTCACGGTCCCAGCTTCGAAGGCCGCTGCATGGAGGGGGGACGCCTTTCTTTTCCTTTTGCCTTCGCTGCCTTTCAGGCGGCTTTACGAGGAGCCATCGCCATCGCCATCGCCAAGGACAGGGAATTCGGAGCTTCGCTACTTCGCTTCGATTTTCTGCAGAGCCTCGCCTTCTCGCCTCGTTGCGAGGGCTCGTCGCCTTACGGAGAGGGCCGGCGGCACACGGCCGAACTCGGCCCGGCTCGGTCTCAAGGAGAGATCTTGAAAGCGTCCCCTCGTGCACTGCGTTGCTGCATTGCTCTGGGTTGCTGCCGGGAGGTCGCAGATGCCCAGAGGCTCCTGGACAAGGTCTCCGGAAGGAGCGCTTCAAAGCAAAGCGTGCGCAGCCTTTCTTAGAGCTGAGCTCGTCTCTGTCTCTGAACACCTTCATTCCTTCTCTCTGCGAGGAGTCTGGGGGGCGTTGGCCCGGCGGGCCCGGGCCCTTCCGAGGGCGGAAACCTCGCTGCGGCTCTCTCCGCCTCGGCGGCTCCGCACCTGCCGCCCTTGCCGCCTTTGCCGCAGGCGCAGAAAGACGAATCCACCTGATTACATTGACATACAATACATACACACAGACACAGCTTCTCGTAGGTAAGCAGGTAGTCCAGGATCAAAGTTCCTTTGAACTTAGGGAAACTCACCAAGGCCTGAGCCATAGCAAGCCCTCTCGTTCTACTTGAAGGTCGTCTTGAAACAACTTCCTCCAGACGGTGTAACCGTCCTGGCTTCCCTATGACTTCAACAGCTTCAATGGCCTGTTCCGAAGATACGGCCAAAATCGTGTCGACATTGACGCTCCTCGCTATTTTTCTCCTGCGGTGTAGATGTAGATAACGAGATTTCGCTCTCCACTTTTTGATTGCAGAAACGTAGGTTGGTTGGGTCGGGCCCTTTCTGCCGCATGAACTAATCAGGCATTCTCCTTGACGCTTTCGGGCCTCGGGCTCCAATAGCTCAGGATTTCTTATCTGTTCCAGTTACCAAGGTCTTACTTCATTCAGGTGTTTCGTATCCGAATAGATCACGTGTCGAGCCCACTGTCTTCGACCCTGAGTAGCCACTGTCCCATCTTGATGCCATTGATAGTTCCTTCACGTCTTCTGCGCGCACCGAACAATAAACAAGCACTGTGAAGCTGAAACTCCAGTCAAGCCATTACGGAGCTTTTTCCTCCAAGTTCTTTGGAGCAAACACTTCCGGACTCTTCACCAACCTTGCGGCAGAGTCGTCCTCTTCTGTCCGCCTGTACCTGCAGCACTAGCCAAAGCTTGGGCTGCGGCTGCCAAGTTTCTTACGGAGTCTGGACGATCCTCCAGCAACTCCTGACGGCATCGCCGTTGGCGTGTCGCTTGGTATATCTCCTTAACCGCCGTGTCCAAGCAACACAGGCAAATCTGTATCTCCTGGACCTGGTCCACTCATGTTGTGGACAGCTTGCTGGCCGGATCATGTCATGTAGCTCCGCAATGCCAGGATGTATGCTCGAAGAAAGGCTTTGAAAGGTAGAAGGGTACATGTCTCGGGTGGGGTAAGCAATGGTGCCCTTGTCACAGCTCTGCGCGCGGCTTGAGCTGTCGACAGACCCAGCAACCGTACTGGCAAGTAAAGGCCAGTTGGTGGGTAGGTTCGCTATGTTGGAAGATGCAGAGGGCACCAATATTCCCTTCCTGATGTCAGTCATCGGGGGAGATGAGAGGCTCGTCGGAGTGGATGAAGCGGGTCTCCGAAAATTATCGGCTTTTGTGATTGACAGGTTGGCACGAGAAGTCGAAAAAAATTCGGGTTGGTCGCTGAAGCTTTCGTTCGTAGTGTTCGATCCATGAATTCCGAGACGGCCGTAGCTCTTGAGAGGGAAGCACAACACAAGGTCCTGCCCATCAAGGGCGGGCACCTATCCATCAGTGGTCTGCCAGACGGGCTCGCTTGCTTGCACAGGCAGGTGATGATGGAAAGCTGAAGGACAGAACCGAGGAAGCAGAAAGACTTAGCTGGATCAGGTCGTTGGCTGATCTTCTATATAGAAGCCAGGCTCCCATTGGCGCCGACTTTGAGAATGCTAGAAAGCTCGGACGGGCAGGTAAAGGGGAGAAGTTCATTCTTTGGTTGAAAGGTGCTTTCGTGCTTTCGATCTAGAATGGACTCGGGCTCATGTCATCGATACCTACAGGAAAAGACCGCAGAGCCATGTGGAAAGAGCATTCCACTCAGCTTGTTGAAGACCTTGATGTTCATGGAGAGCTCGGTCGAAAAGCCAAAGTCCGAACAATTATCTGTCCATCCGTCAGTATCCAACGCAATGCAAGAAACCACACGCTTCCTCGAAGTGGCATCCCCCTCGGAGAATAGAAAGGCCAACGTGTTCCCAGTCAAAGTCGCGATGGCGTTGGAAAGGACTGTCGTTCACGACTCGGAGCGCAAGTTCGTCAGGGCGTTGGCCCGGTAGAAGCTGGAAAAAGTGTGCGAGGCTTTGCCACACTCAGATGCACAGGTCCAGGAGAAACGATCAAAAAGTTGAGGTTCTACATCGCCAAGGATGCATGGATTGGGATCGATGAGTGGTCAGCGGCAGGCTGGGACATCTGGGATGAGCTATCCAAGGAGAGCAGCCTCACGGAAAGAGATTTTCTTTTTCCGATTCCAGGGTCCGCGTTGCCATCTTTGGTGGGGAAGGTGGCTTCTTATACAGACGCTGCTGCGCTCTCCAAGGCATCATTTTCGAATTTGATTTGCGATGAAGGGCCGGGACGATAACTTCTGCCAGGAGTGGCGGCCATGTGGACAGAACACTCTGACGGGGCCGCCGCATCGATTTCACCCAAACAGTGAAACTCCTGGGACAGTGGAAGCAGGACGTGGATGAAGGTTACGATCGCTGATCCTTCTGACTATTTGGGCCGGAGGTCGACATTTCGAGGGGGAAGTCATTGTGGCCGAACCCGGCTGAAGATACTTCACAGATCGGGTGAATGCTACCGCGGACTACCGCGTGCCAGGGGTCCATTGCCTGGCATTTGTCGCTCTCGGTGACCATTGGCCCGACAAGTCGGCCTACACTACACAAAGTTTGCAAGGCGTGTTTCCCCAAGCATGCGGGTCCTTCTGAGGGTGATGATAAGGAGTCTTCCTCCTCGGAAAGTGGGGTCATCTCCTCCACCTCGGAGTCGGTGGAGAGTTGAAGTGAGTTAACAACAAGAGATCTTGCTCCGCTGCTATTCGCGAAGTACCGTCCCACAGGCGGGGGAGAATGAGCGGGAGGTTCATCGGGAAAGTTCCTCCGACATGGAACCGGGGGAGAAAGAGAGAGGCAGAGAGAGGAGACCCTCCCTCAAAGAGATTCGTGAAACGTGACGGTGGAGAGTTTGCCGACAACGACCAGTCAAGAAAGTCTGGTCGTCTTTCTGCCTTGCAGGCAGTGTGCAGGACTCGCATGCTTGTTCACACAGCGGTGCTCAAGCGCAGTATGTCGTTTGCCCGCAGTAGATTGCCCGACATAAGAACTGAAGAAGCCCAGAAGGTCCTAGTGGCCGGGTTGGATGCGGACTTTTCAGGCCTAGCGCAGACCAAGGGCATCACACTCAAGAAACAAGCGGAACTGGCACAACTATGAAAATCTTTGCCATCTCTCGCTGCTCCACCGTGGCTGACGCTCGCGCAGGACTTAGAACATTCTGCAAGCAGGTCCTACACCTTGTTCCCGACCTCGGTGAGTGCCCAAGACTTCGCTCAACATCACGGAACCAAGAGCCGCACGGTCCTCAGATCACGGCGTGGTAAAAAAGTTCATCTCGGCCAATGCATGACGGTGGAGGCTTGTTGTCACCAAGGAGATGGCTTGTCCATCGTCGAGACTCCTACCCTCTCGTCAAGAGTTCATGAACAGTTCAAGCTTTGGTGCGGAGCAGTCCGAAACTCTGGAAAGGATATGATGGAGGACAAATTCTGGCCTGTGGCCGCGGATCAGTTTATGTTTCAGGAGGGAGTGGAACCAGGGCGAAGGCAGAGATGTGCAGTCGGAGACAGCATTCCATCGAATTGCAGCAGCAGTGGAGATTTTGGGTGATGTGGACTACGAGTGGCTTCGCGAAGTTGGTGCGCTGAGGGTGTCGTTCATGGCGGCAGCCATTCTGTTGATGTCCATCATAGGATACGAGTTCTCGACCGATTGCGCAATCCCCTAGTCGACGGTGCCGAGGCCGTTAGCAGGCAGGTCAAGGAGGAGTGCAAAGCGAGGCCCGGGATTCGGTTTGGCGCGGCCTACGATGTGGTGCGTGCTCATCGTCTCATGCCAATCCGAAAAGCCGATTGGGGCTTTCGGGCTTTCTGCCTGGACGCGCCCAGCGAGGTGTTCTTGCGCAAGAGAGGCGCGTTCGGTGTGTCATCTGCTGGTGGCAGCTCGCAGCTACCTTGAGGCCAATGTTCGGCAGGTTCGACATATCCAGGTATCCCGCTCCTCGATGCTATCCTCATAGGATGGCCACATCGAGGAGCAGGGTGCGCACATATAGGCGACCTTCTTTGCTTCCAGACGCAGCAGCAAGCATCCTGTGAGTCTTGGCGAGGTCCAGCAGCCGCAAACGCACCTCAGGAAGCCCAGTGCACCGTAATGTTATTGCAACACGAGCGGCTTGTGCTGCCAATCATGGCGATGGACCCATTGGATGCATCGCCAAGACTGGCAGCACTGGCACCTTGCCTTCCACGGGATACATACATAGGACTCGACCAGGCCTGGGCTTCGTGCAGCACATCACATCGCAACATTCTGGGTGAAGGCCAAGCCGGCCAAGCCTGCGTGTTCT